TTTACTAGATCGTCGGTCCAGCGAGTTAAGTAAAATCGTATAAAAGACATTTAAGACGTTTTAATAACATACCTACTTTTTATATTTCTAATTTATAAACGAACATTAGTATTATTAAAACAAAGTTTTCTAAACTAAAAAATGTTTTAACGCACACGAAATATTTCGAATGCCACAGCAATAAGCCCCTTTCCAGACAGGCTGGGAAAGTGACAAGATCCTTCAAAGGCGGCTCCCGCCTTGATTAATTCGAGGGCCCTCCAACCCAGATTAAAAGTCGCCAAACCACCTCCTTCAAGAATGTATGAGCTTATTATGAATTATTAATTCAGAAGAAATTCAAAGAATGCCTTTATTACAATTAATTTGCTTTAATAGTCTTCGAGGGTATTGCTAATTTAATGCTAATGAAATGACTTAAAAGTTTCATTAATATTTGATATTGTCGTAAAAAAGTCTCGTTAGAAACTTGATTGGGATGGAATGTTTCATTTAGAAACATAAAAGGTATGAAATAATTACATTTACTAAGAATCCAATATAATAAAGAAAATCTCCCAATATTGTGGATCGTCGTGATACTAGTAGAGATAGAACTAAGAAAAAGATTTACTATGACTTACTATTTAAGGATTTAAACATTGGCTCTTTAATCATTATGTTTTTGGGCATATAACAGGAGTAAAAATGAGTCAACTATAGCTGTGTACATTGTCGTTGTAAGCAAAGACCTAAAATATCATAAATTAAACCATTAGCCAAACAATAACACAATATCCCAAACAATAGAGCACTCAGTACAGCCATTGTTAATCGCCACGTAAATCTTTCATGTCGTAATTGATCACTCAATTTTATGCAACGCAGCGTTGTCGATAAAACTATTAAAAACATATATTATGACGGCATAAAGTCCGTTGTAAGCCTTTAATCGAGTAATAAAATAAATTGTGACCGCGGTCCCGGCGGCCTCGCAACAAAATGTCAATTTTAATTTCATACGATAACAGCAACAATATGTTTACAGGGCAACCTGAAATGGCGGATAATTGAGGCGCACTGCTGATGCAAATGTTGTTAGTTATGACGAGTTACTTACTCACATTCGAAATGAAACTTTTTCATACTATAAAGCTTGTTTTTCTAAAAAACTCTGTGGCCTTAACAACTGTTGATTTTATAGTTCCTTACGACAAAGCAGCATAAATTACTTATTGCGCTGCGTATCTACTGCATGCTGTGCCAGTTTGTACTTGAATACATTACGGTCACAAAATGATAAATGATCTACAAGACGTGTTTCAATAGTTTGATTTCGATTTCTCACCTTCTTGTCGTTACATTAACCAATAAATTTTGCCTATGAATAGGTATTGTATAAAACTTTATATTATTATTAATAGAGTATTCTCAACTTTTAGCTTGGGCTTTCCTCATTCAATTATTACTTTAGACTAGATCCACAGTTTACATAAAGTTTAGCATTGTTGAGAATATTTAGGCGTAAGGAAACTGTACGATACACGTGTACACACAAAATAATCAATTCATTCATAAATTCAGTGAGTGCTATGTAAAGTCCTCCATCACAGAATACGTTATCAATCACACCGAATGGAAATAGAAAACATAAAGCTCTATTTACGACTCCATCCATCATTGTTGCAGGTACAGAACGTAACAGAACGTAACGTAACGTAACATCGCAGCTGTGAAGCATCGCGATCGCAAATAGCTAGCTTAGCGCAGCGCTAGATTTGATTAAGCTGGCCCAACGAGCCGTGTGATTGGCTCGCTCGCAGCGCAACTATTGTGTAGTTTGTAAAGTACCGATATTCCTTTTTATTGCAGTGTGCAGTGGAATTATTATATTCATGATGGATAAATAGAATGTCAAGAATAGAACACAACTACGGTATTGTAAAGTTGGATCTAACAATCATAATCCTGACGTCCACGACCACTCTGTCAATAGTGAAAGTGAAAAAAGTCAGTATTTATGTATAACAACTGAAAAGAAGTAGTTGAAATAAATATCAAAGGGGTGAAATAGGGGATGAAGTGAAGATGCTACTAACACTAAACCTGGCACCCTAGAGTGGCAAAAAAGTAAATAGTCACCCTTAATGAAAGGCGTGTTTGGTACAATAAATGCTGCCCAGTTACACTACGACTAACTAGCACTGACAATACCAATAAACAACATTCTGGAGCTAACATATTTTAATTCTATGGAATATAGGTAATGTGAATAGTGCGCATTCAATATATTTCGTATCGCCTGATTGGTTTAGTGCAGTGCACCATTGTGATAGTGTAATGAACCCAATGTTTCATGGGGCCATCATGGTGTCTCACCGCAACTGATTGTTGACCATTTTTGATCAACTAATCATGTTTATTGGAACAGTTAGTATGAGGGACAGCTTGCTGATTGCTTATTGATTATGATTAATATTTTGCTTCAGAATCTTATTACGGTTACATGTTGATAATGGAGTCTCCTAAAGATTATAATATATCGGACATCAAAATAATATATCCTTTTTTTATGCAAAACAAGGCAGTTATTTGACCACAATCGCACCCGATGTTAAGTGGGATGCAGTCTAGGATGGTACATATCTGCCTTGTAAGTGCCTATTCACTCTCGCCTTGAAAATGTCCTACTTCTTCTTCTTTAGCTTCGACTTTCTGAGTCCTTTTTACTCTTACTCGTATTTCAGTTAATATAGTCAATGCCTTAAATAACAAAATCATCTTATATACAGAGCTAATTATTTTATACAGTAGGTATTTTGTTACATGTTACATTCTAAACCATTCCATCAGTATTTTTCCTACATTCACCAGTGTCAGTAGCTCGCGGCACAACGTGTCATGAAACTCGAGCTGCTCTTAATTAACGATACCAAGTTTCTTGAGATAAAACCTACCTACCCCCGAATACAAACATACGTGCCCAAACTCGAAAAGTAAAAGGATCCCAATTCGCTGTATTGGCCATACTGTGAAACCTAACAAAGACAGGGATAACGTTTGATTAGACAGATATACGAAAAAACTACGGAATGAGATGGTCTTTTGGAGTTCAACACAATTCTAGCACGATCTTATCAAAGAAGACTACTTAGAATCTTTTATGTAGACTAGAGCCAAAGTTTGTTAAGATGTTTTCTTACTATACTTGAACAAACAAAAAGGGTTCTAGGTACTACTCAAATACAACTTTTTTTTTTATTAAACTCTCAAAAAATCCCCATACAAATTGTTGTCAGGTCATCAGTCTGTTATTTTTTTTTTTAGAATTTTTAAAATATTTTGTTCTTCATGTGTGTAAGTATTTTTGTTTGATTAATTCGATGGGTGCCGGGAATAAAGCCACACAACAATACAGATGTGATGTTCTTTGTTGCTATGAATATTATTATGTTAGGTATTGTCTCGATAGTATAATCCGACTTCGAGAGCAAAATTTATTTTCTATTGTTTCTCTGTAAGGGATTATTATGAAATTTATTTAAAACTGAATTCGTCTTATGAAGTTACGTAAGCTGAATCCAGTTTAAACAAGGCGTAAAGGTTTCATGTTAGCCTATTTTTAGAACAATAAAGGTATTTTCTATTCGCCCAGACCACGCAATTTAAAGAATAGCTTTTCTAATAACAATATTCAAAATCAATCATTAGTTATTGAGATAACAAGCAAGTGACGTACCAAATTCTTAAATGCTCTACATACTCTGTCACTTTTGATCACTTTTTGATGACGTATAAAACATTTTGTCATACATATTAATCCGATTTAAGTCGCCTCCTTGGCTGCGCGACGCTGGCCACTAAGAAAAACTGTGTTCTTTTTTCATCGCCGAATATCGACATTCTTTTGTTTTCCCCTTACCCGCTCGACCCTCGATTTTTGACACCACGAAACACACGGCTGAGTTTCACCACCGATTTTTGACGTTTGTCAAAGCTAAAGTAAGATGGTGCAACCCAGCTTTAAACAATAATAATTAATTAGGCCCATTGAGCCCAACATTCTGTTTGTTACTTAATATCAGCCATTTATTTAAACAAGAATAACACCTACCCAACCAATACCTTTACCTTCTCACCTAGCGACATCAACTATTTCGATTTTATACGTTTCCCATTTTTCAAAACCGACACAGTGCATTCAGCTCTTTCTCCGACCGCATATTCGCAAACGTAATTGCGTCGAACAATTTATTGCATAGTTGAGTCCAACGTTTTGTAATTACGCGTCCAGCCGTGCTGTGACAGAACAATTAACTCTTGGTCAAAATGAGAGCGTTTGAAACTGAGCTTCGATTAGTGGTTGAGCAAGCAGTGCAATGGAATGAGCATCATTTGGGTATTCATAAAATTTTATTTGTCTCATTATAAAACGGATACGTATTCGTATGTAGTTTCGGTTATGGATACGGTTACGGATATAGGAATAATATTATACAGGTTTCGGTTTCGGTTACGGATATTTGTTAATTTCGGATATCCGAAAGTTTCGGTTACGGTTACGTATATCCATAACAACCCTGGTATACAGCTCTATTGCGTTTTAAAAAGCTGTCACCATCTAGCGATTCAAAAGGAAAATTATGGACAAATAGACATTTTCATGACGACGTTAGGGCTTTATACTGCGTCGTGCACTCGAATAATAAATTATTCCAGCTACCTAGTTAACTTGTACTACGACAAATAGGTAATTATTAATAGAACACTAACATTTCAGCTATGTTTTGTTTTGCAACTAAGTACTCCAAAATATAAAAAAAGAAACAATAAATTGTGAAATGAAATCGAACACAAAAAGAAAAATAAGTTTCTTGGTGGCCAGGCGCCCGGCCAACAAGGAGTTAGGCTATATGCCTTTTCGTTTAAAACTAAATATTCTTCCTCGAGGACTGCGAGTACTTTGGCTCTATCTGCACGTAAACATTAGTCCCTGGCAAAAATCGAACCAGCAACTAAAAATGGTGGCCCGTTCCGCGAACTATCAGTGCAAGGATATTGAAAAACAGGTCGCATGTGTTGTGATATTACCGTGTAATATCACGGAGTTCAGAGTTGTCGTGTGCGCTGACGTCGCGGTACGTGACCATTGTCGCTGGACGCGCGAAAGCTAGCTAGCACTACAAAACTGATATAGTCTGTGTACTAAGTATTTATAAGATCGGGGAGGCTGGAGATTTGGTTTCTTTTGTTTATTTATTCAAAAATAAAATTTAGTAAACGTGTATGACATATTATGTAACATACTAGTATAGGGAATATAATCAATGGTAGGTGCTTAATACCTTAAGAACAATGGATAAAATGTGTCAACAGTTTTAGGTTTATTTGGACTTACACGTTATGAATTTTCATACAATCCTTAGTATTTTTTTTTTAACAAAATCAAGTAACCTTATTAACTTATTACTTACTTAAAAGTTATTAAATTGAAAACCTCTTCCTAAACCATAGACCACCACCAAGATTACAAGCATCCATTTTGCTTTGCCATATCGGAATGGGAAAGTTATTTTCGTGGCTTCGTCCTGAAAAAGGAACAAGTCATGTTCAAAATAATTGGACTGCGCGAAGTGAGGCCACGTGAGTGCACCTATGCCTGTGCATCTGGGATGTCCTTTTGGCGCTTGAGTGCTTTGTAAACCTTGTCACCGACCTTTTCAGTACTACAGTGGTCTCTACAAATACATAGCTACGTCATAACAGATACTAGATCTAATATGTAACACAGTCACAGTGTTTGTGTAAAACTCCAAAACGGCTTGATCGATTCTTACGAAAATTAGGATAGGACGTAAACTATTGTTCATACCCCTAGATTAATAAATAAATAAATAATAAATATCTTTGGACAATCTCACACAGCGCCATCTAGCCCCAAAGTAAGCAATTAATATGCTTGTGTTATGGGTGCTAGCTTAACGGATATACTACTTATATACTTTTTTTTTAAATACATACATAGGTATTATACATAGTAACAGCCAGACCCGTCACAGAAATTAAAATTCATCATTTCAATTTCTGCCCGGCCGGGAATCGAACCCGGGACCTCTCGGCATAGTAGTCCGTTCTGAACCACTACACCAAACGGCCGACAATTAAAACAGATCAACAGATCAACTAGATTCAAACCAAAGTTTTCTAGATCAGCTAGTAACGTAATAGAAATAATAAGAAATTGTAGCAAAATAGTATCCGTGTTATAAAAATTTCAATTCTGTAACTTTTCACTGCGCAAAGGCTAAATAGCCCCGCAAAAAGTTATGTTGAAATTTTTAAAGTGAATTTTTTCACAAACATCAATCTTACTTGGAAGGAAAACTTTCTGAAATGGGGTCAAACGGTTTTCCGCGAAATGTTGTAGCAGACATTTTATACATTCCTCCACAGAAACGCGGGGAATGTTGTAAAACTTTTAACACTGCGAAAACTCTTTTTGTTTTTCAACGTTAATGCAAGAAATTAAGACAAGTTTTGAGGAGAGTATTATTTTCGACTTGGAACTTTGAACCATAATATCAGATAGCTGGAATTAAAAAACATAACCCTCTTTCTAGCACAGTCGGGTAAAAATAGATCTGTTGATCTGTTTTAAATAAATATGGAACAAAACAATAACAAAAATTATGAATGCAATCAATCCGGGCGACGTGGAAATCACTGTAGGAGGCCTATGTTCAGCAGTGGACGTCCTGTGGCTGAAATAATGGTGATGATAGTAAACCTACCTACAGATTAGTCAGTCAGAAAATATTCCTACGAATACTTATAAAAGTAAAATTAAAAACCGTCCCAAATATGTTCACCTCTTGAATCTAAAAAACCAAAAGGCTGCACTCAAGAAAATAAAGCTCTCCCTTCACGTGCCCATGAGAGAGTAAATAAAGGAACGTTTTCATCATATCAGTAAATTGTCTGCTCAAGCATTCATTCTAAAACAGCCTCCCGCGAGCAAAAATATTGCACTCATATATTTCCGAATGCGTGTTTGCTGCGGTGAAAGTTTTGAATCAGTTACGTTACATTGTGACTAGTGGTTTTTATACTTAATACTAAGTATGACTATAGACAGCATTATGTAATTCGTTAAAGTACCTATAGAAAAAACACATCCCAATGTGGGGTGTGTGGATTTGTCATTATTTTCAAATGGGATATTCCACTGCTAGAATGCTATTTTGTTGAAAATCAGTGGAATATCCCATTTGAAAATAATAAATTGAAAACAAAATAGCATTCTAGGTTACAGTTTTTATCAACAATAAAAATATTAACTGGAAGGATTTTCGTTTAACGATGACTATAATGATTTTGATACACGTTTAATAAACGACAATTAGTAATATTTTGACCTTAACCTCTAATGAATACCTATAAATCTAAAACAATAAGGCTGAGTTGCATCACCAAACTTGGCTTGTAACTATGACGATAAACGGCGTATTTTGTATGGAGATTGACAGATTTTTGACGTTTGTAACAGTCAAAGTAAGATGGTGCAACCCAGCCTAAGTGTTACCCTATTGGTAAAAGATACAGGTTTAGCCTTTAATAGGAATGACTGATTTGTAGTTTGTACAGCAACATACGAACTGATCTCTCTGTGACTGAAAAATGGGTAACACCTTGTGTCTCTTCCAAACTGTTATCTTGGATTGTGTCATTTTTGTCGCTGTTTTTTGTAAAAATGGCGAACAAATGAGGCGATCCGTGATGGAAACAAACTGTGTTATGTTTCCGTTGTGCTCACGTAACGGGTTTTAGTTTTCAAACGATTTTGATATAGGCCATAAAATATAGTTTACGTATTTTGATATCGGATTTAATTTATAACGATATTTTCAAAAGTATTTTTCAACTTCCTTCTTTCTAATTTCGTGCTCTAGTACTAATACGGTTTTAGTGTTACTTACAGTAAAGGTTTCCCTAGCTTTGTACCATTCAAGCAATCTCGACTCAACTCGAGCAATCACCACTTATTATCAGGTCGTGGATTCAACTCCCTTTAGAGAAGTTTATTTTGTCAAGCTCCAATCAAGTTTTAATATTATTCGTATCAAATGAGGTGTAATATTTTCTTTAAAAACACAAAATCCCTGCAATAGTTTTCCAAGCAAAGCGCTCCTGTCTGAATTTAATTCCACTTCTGGAACATGGAGTGAAACGTTCGCAAAATCAACGTACGAGTATTTCGACAAAGTAAACCGGGAACTGTATGGGAATGCAACAAATACCGATGCCGGAGTGCACAGATACTGAACTGACTTTGTCAAAAATGTAAGGCTAAGTTTAGGTTTACTGCCGTGGCTGAAAATACAGGTTAAGCTTAGTTTATTTTAGAGTTTAGAGCTTTCGCTGAATCAAATCTTTCAATTTGTAAACTAAGCCCCGGTTTATAAATTGAAAATTTTAGCTTGAGCGTGATTGTTGAGCATTATATACATATTTTGTAATTTTCTATAACAGCATAAACCTATTGTAAGATATTTATATTGTGAGATTAACTACTTAGGTCCTTTATTGCAAATCTTTTTAAAAAAATCTTGAAAGTATTTCTCCAGCCTCTACTAAGGTCAAGGCTCTACCATTTTGCAATTTATCAACGTATCCAAGCTTACAAAATAAAATAAAGTTTCACAAAATCCGACGATGTAAACACTTGAACAACAAAAAAGGAAGATTGGATCGCGATCCCATCTGAAGGTCTGTCCTTTGTGTTAGCAGCGCAAGATCACAAAGCACCAAAAGATGGCCGATCGAGACCTATCAATTTGTTTAATTGGAATCTTCTCTTTGTATTTTTTCGTTTGCAGAGTAGACCCATTTAGATTTAATGTTATTTATTTTTGCTACTCCTTGTATCCACATTGTTGAGCGAAATGCAATTATATCGTCCCGCGCCGTTTTGCTTTTACTTAGTCGTCTGTCTCGATGTTTATTTCAGTTTTAATTTTGTAGTAATAAAGTAAGTAGTTATAGCGATTCTGTTTAGTGTTATATGATATTTAATAAGAATATATGTAATAAACACTATTTTAGTATTGCTTACCATGTTTCACGGAGCATAAGAAATAGGTCCTAGTACTTAGAAACGTAAAACTTGTATGTAACATTCGGGCCTAATTATAGCTGAAGTGAAAGGAACATCTTAGTAAAATCAAAGTCTTTAGTCTTATATGTTTGTGTTATTGAAATAATTTTGTCCAAAAAACTTAATTATAATCGACGAAACTACTCGAAACACACACATTATGCAACGTAGTTTGAGAGTTATTTAATTTTGAAGTTGTAAACAGCGTGCCAAAATGGGTAATAGGTGTTAAAACCATTGGGCCAAAAGTGCTTGCACCAACTTCATCTCGCGGGAACGTGTTGGTGCAAATAACTGAATTTTCTACCTCTGTTTATTTTTAGAAGCGGATTCTTTTACGTTTGTTGTTAGTACAGCAATAGTACTTACTCTACATGTTTATACATATAGTTCACACCTAATTGTTTAAATCAACGTCGAATTATTTTGGTCTGAAGATAAACAAGTAATTAAAAAAAGTACTCGTATTACCAGCTGCTATCGTAGCAGATAAAAGGCGGGAAGTATTTGAGAGTTATTATTAAGACCACTAAAATAATGTAGGTACTTATTTAAAAAAAGTCCTTTTACAAATAAAATTAAACAATTTAAAATAAATCTTGCAGGTTTAAAAACAAAATACGTACTTTTGAATAAAACGTCAGTTGGTTCGTTCAGTTGTTATCTGTATTGTATTCAGTTGAAAACTGTTATATCTGTTGGCCAGCTTCATGAAACAATGGCCTCAAAAAGCGAGATCGCGGCATTATTACGTGCTTTATTTATTACACGGCATTTTCCTTTGTTGGCTGTATAAAGAAAACAGCTGGAAAGGATAAAGGTGCGAAGTTATTGTTTGCCAAAATTAGCTGTCGGCCAGATTGATGTATCGTTTTTGGTGAAAAAACGAGGAAAATTCCCGCTGGATTCGTGACGCGTCTGATTGGGAGCGGTGATCATTTGGGATCATCGTAATGCTGAGATTTTATCGGAATTTTTTCAGCCTTCGCCTGTGCTAACGTTTGGAATAAAAACATTAGCGAAGGTTTTTTGGCTATACGAAGTAGTAAAATAATGTTACTTGGCAAATGTCATCCAACTAAAGCGATGATTGATATCTTTGAAACACAAACTACAATGTCTTTCAGCAAGTTCGAGTTTATGTTACTTTAATAATAATGTAATCAACAAAATTGGCACAGACTCAATGCAAAATTGAAGCACCCTACTATAGGTAGGCCGGTTNCAATATAGAAGACAGCCAGGGCGAGGTAGATACGTCGAGAGGTACTCCGACGCCGCGCACGGCACCCCGCGCGAGCACAACATACGCCGGTCCCCGAGCGCCCACTTATACGGCGCCGGAATCCGCCATACGGCCCCCGCAGCCGCCGCCACCCGGGCGCCGCCGGCCGTCACGTACGCCGCCCCCGCCGCCGTCGTCCCCGCCGCCGCAACCATCACCTGACGCCGCCGCCGCCCCCGCCGCGAGAAAGTCGCGTCCCACATGCACGTACTGCAAAAGTNTTATATCATCCCCGCCCGCACCCCGCACGGTCCCCGTTCTCGTCCCGCCCCTGTGCCCCCGCGTTCCGCAGGCGAGGTCTCATTTAACCGGTCATACTATAAATACTATAATTACCTGGAAATCAAATTTATTTATTATAAGGCAATACATTAAGTAAAAAATAACAAGGCAATTCAGATAAAATTCACGCCTCGCTCATTATTTAAAAATGACTCTTTATTTTTCAGACCGTGATAACTTGAAACTGCGCTCCCGAGGAACTTGGGATATTACGGGGATGACCCAAAAAAGTTCAACTTTAATGTCTGCGACTCTCCGTGTGGCTGAGGAACCTTTTTATTGTTCGACAAAGTGTTATCTTTGTGATCTGTTGAAGTAAACTGCTGATATTAGGGGAGACCGAGGTGAGTATAACAGCGCGCGTTTGTTAGCTCGAGACTTGAACTAAAAAAACTCGCACTGTACGATCTTACTAGTAGCAGGCCTGTTCATCTCCGCGAGTTTACATCAAAAACAAAACACGCACGATGGCCCACCTACAGGATACTATTCGACAAGGCCTCACATACGAGCGAACATTGACTCACGCACGCGTATTCTTGTGTATGATGGAAGAAAATAAAGAAAATGGTGTACTAAATACTGTGCAGTATTTAACTGCCTAAATAATAATAAAAACACAGAATGTACTTTTTTAAGAAGTTGCGTCAAGACACTGAGAGGTAAATAAGTAGTTAATATTATTCATGATAATTCATGCTAAATCATGTATTTCCTCCGCCATTTTCCGCAGTTTGGCACCTCACGTCACATCATTTTACCGAAGTCAGCCCTATAGCTTCGGCGCAGTGCCGATCACTGACGTTTGTCAACAAAATGGTGCTTGACTCTTGAGACAGGCTAAATTACACCATATTGTTAATGACATTGAGCATAGGTACATTTTTTTAAATACCTTCGCGAAGTAAAACTTCTGTACGCAGTACTTATTATTATTCTGTGCTAGTAGTTAATAACAAAGTCGGCCGTTTGGTGTAGTGGTTCAGAACGGACTACTATGCCGAGAGGTCCCGGGTTCGATTCCCGGCCGGGCAGAAATTGAAATGATGAATTTTAATTTCTGTGACGGGTCTGGGTGTGACTATGTATAATATTTATGTATTTAAAAAAAAAGTATATAAGTAGTATATCCGTTAAGCTAGCACCCATAACACAAGCATTAAGTTGCTTACTTTGGGGCTAGCTGGAGCTGTGTGAAATTGTCCAAAAAAATAAAAAATAATAATAAGTTCCAAAAAATCGACAATATCACAACTTTCCTCTATTTTAACTAACCCCGTTATAGAGATTGAAAATGGGCGTTATGTAGGTAGAGACCTTATGGAGGAAGTAAGGATAGTAACCACTTTAAGTAGGTAGGTACATTATCTAAGCTTCTGATTACAAAGCTATCTTAGAAAAGAGTGTACCTACCTAAAAATAATGAACCTAGGTATGCGTTCATTATTCTCAGATTTAGTTTATAATGCTAAATGTGTTGAGTAGGAAATAATTTATCGATAGTTACTTCAGATCACTTAATAAAATAATAAACACACTCATTTCGTCGCTTGCCTCTCTAACTGACGTATCTGACATTTTTTTCGAAACTGAGTTATCTACACTTAACTGAGTTATCTTAATCATTTTCGCAAGACAAATCGATTTGTCTAATCGCCTAAATTTTTTTCCAAATGTCAGTTACGTCAGTAGGGCCCAGTTTTTTGATTCATAGTTAAAATAACTAATTGTTAAATTTTGCTACTAATGGTTAAATATTAACAAAATGTAAACAATTAGTTAAAAAATTTACTATAGATGACCCACGCTGAACTGTCCCGCCAAACTCAATGACAGGGGGGCGCTACCATCGTTCAACTATATGGTTTCCAAAATGGCAAAAATATGAACCAGCGATCCGGTATTGACGGTGGCGCCCCACTGTCAATGTCATCGACAGGACAGTCCAGTATTTTGGAACTATAAAAGTCAAGCTAACCATTGTTTGAAAAACATTTTTTCTGATATTTAACCACTTGTCATTTGACATCTGTCAAATTTGACCATTGGTTATTTTAACTACGAATCAAAAAACCGGGCCTTAGAGAGGCAAGCGACGATTTGTTTCTTGAGTTTTGAATGTGGACATTTCGTATTTGCCTGTCAATACATATTTAACTGTTGTTCGGTTGTTCAGTTTTCTTACTATTCTAATTCTGCCAAAGCAACTAGGTCTGCCTGTCTGAAACGTATTTCAGAGTTGTATGGTTTTAAGCACTTGATGAGGCCATTTAGATTAGAACACCTTTGATATAGCTCATATATTCGGAAAACTCATGATTACTTTTTCACTTTCTTTGAATTGTTCCCATTCGTTATTTACTGATCATACGCATAGGCGTTTATTAGTATGTAAGTAAGTAATAAAGTATTTATTTATTTAGAACTCGCAGACCATACATTTTTACATAGGTATTATATTGTCTCCTTCACCTATGTTAAAGTAGGGTAGACCGGGGACAATAGTACCATTTTTTGGAAATTGTTCAATATTGAGAAATCTAATGAAATATAACTTATTCTGTTAGGATGCTGTAAAAACTAGACTCTTAAGCTACAAATTTAAGCATGCAGAGTTGAACTATTCTTTCGAATACTTAATGAAAAACCAATTTGAACTGAACGATGTCTCATGTTACAATTGACCCCTACAGCGGGTCAATTGTACCAATAATATATGAGGCAATAAAAGTAGTTATGTTTATCTAATCATCACCTTTATTGGTATTCTGTACTCTTAATCTCCTACAATCATCAGTATTTATTAATTGAGATCGAAAATATTTAGGAACAAGTATGAAAAATCAACACTTAAGTTTAAAAACAAAACAATAAAATTTCTTCCATAAAAATGAAAAAACTAACTGTTTCTACATAATATGCCATCTATTTGGCTCGGATATTGCTTCTGAAACAACAATAAGCATAATAACAATGATAGAAATATCAAAACTGAAAAATCTATTTTTGTATGAGGGTACAATTGACCCCTGGTACAATTGACCCTGATTATTTATATCTACTACTGCTTCGACTTTTCAAGATTTTTTCATAAGCCTGTTCATGAAGGAATAGATCCGTTGAACCGCGATCCGTACTTTTGACTCTACGCCGAGGCATCTAAAACAAAACGTTCAAATACTTAGTTACTTACTGAATTAAGCTAAAATGTACATATTCAGAAGGGTTTAATGCCTGGTAGGTATGCCTAACATTGTAAAAATAATAACCACGTGAATGTTTTATAATAACTTATTTTATTATAACCAATTTAAAATATTATGTAGTAAGTATAAAATAAGGTTCCGGGGGTTAATTGTACCACGGGGTTGATTGTACCGCTACAATTGACCCCATTGAGACTGGTACAATTGTTCCAAGTAGGTAGTCAAGAGAACTTCACCTAAAATTCAGTCATTTTCACAGTGAATGCCAATTATTCGCTGTCGATACAAAGTTTAAAGTTGGATAAACTATTGACAACAATACCTTGTAACAAATATCATATTAGGCAACTTATGGGCTCATATATTTGACGTAAAAACTTACTGCGGCTGGGCAAAAAACAAAAATCCTTCCTGTACATCTTCGTTTCTCAGCGAAAGCGCCGCCGACTGGTGAGCGGATGGAAACACAAAAAGCGCATATTCTGACGCTATGCACACAACCTAACGTCGCTTGTATGAAGAAATATCGCCGATGGTACTATTGACCCGTGGTACTATTGTACCCGGTCTACCCTACCTATGTTTCATGGCCTAGGCTCTCAGATTTAGTTTAACAAAAATAAGTGGTTTGGGATCTTACTTCAATACAACGTAATAGGCATTACGTAAACATCGCTAAAAGAAAAACGGAAAGGAAAAAAAATACAAATACTAAAACGGCCAAAGTATACTAATAAAAAAGTGTTCAGTGAAACACGACGTAACTTTTACTGTGGGAATAACGTTTACGTCTCTTGTCCGAAGGTTGAGGTCTAATGACCGAACTTACCCTAATGCTTCTTTAAACGCCTGCATAACCATTATAGCAACGGTATACGGCAAATAGTGATGCTCGTAACTTGTCATTAGTTATTAAAAATATCGATGAAACTGTTTTTGTTCGATATTTTAGAGCAAATAGCGTATGATTTTTATTGTCTGTATTTCTGTGATAGGTAATCTGTGTGGTGTTTTTAATTTTTTACGGCGACCCCAGTGCCCCAAAGGTCCTTGCTGAAAATCAGTGTCGTGGCACCTTTAATGTCACGACTAATGCTGAGCCAGGGAACTTTTTGGCACAGGGAACTCTTTATTTTAATTGGGTTTTTAGTTCTATATTGTATGTTTTATTTTGTATTCTGCCTATATTGTGTATTGAGCCAAATAAACAATATTCTATTCTATTCTATGATCAGTAAATAATAAATGGGAACAATTCAAAGAAAGTGCAAAAGTAATCATGGGTTTTCCGAATATAAGTAAGGTATGTTCTAATTTAAATAGTCTCATCAAGTGCTTAAAAACCATTACAATAAGTCCTAAGCAACACATTCCAGATAGGCAGACTTGGTTGTTTTGGCTGAATTAGAATAGTCAGTCAGAACAACTGGTATGAAAATAGTAAATTTAATTTTATATTGACAAAACAAACAAAATACGAAATGTCCATATTCAAAGCTCAAGAAACAGATGTGTGTTTATTATTTTATTAAGTGATCTGTAGTAACTATCGATAAATTATTTCCTACTCAACACATTTAACACCCGATAAATGCCTATCGCACATTCACATCACTAACGTAACTTATGTTCCCAAGGCTGTTGTTTCTCACGTCTATAAGCCAAGAATAGGAACAGATTAAGGAACTAAACCGCAAATTCAACGGAGTGTAATGAGATTTCGTTTGTTTAAATTGAAGGTCTGGATCGAGTTTCGTTTCGAATTGGATTAATGTCTTGGCTTGCAGCGGAGATACTGGAAAAACCGAC